ATGATTATTAACATTATTCATTATCAAAATCTAGCGTCACTTTTTTATTTTCTTTTACAAATGCAAAGAACTCGGTGGCAATGAATAACGAATTAAAACAAATTAATCAAGAAGATAGTAAGATCTCGATTGTCTGAAGTGTTTTTGTTGCATCAATGCAATATATTCAGTATCACTAGCATTAATTTCAAGCATGAGAAGAGAGAAAAACTTTACATTCCTGAATCTAAACATATAAAATGATAGTGGTAACATTTTTTTTTTAGATCTTTGTCGATCAATATTATTTGAAACACCAATAGAATGTTACTCCCTCGATGGCCACGTGATAAAAAGCCTGACGGCAGGCACTCGTAGCTCCTGTAAGAATCTCTGCACTATGGAAAGCCAAAGTGTCTCCATCAACATTGGTGCGCCATTAAATGGTAAGGTTATTTGTGAGCTGAGTGATTCTGAACACTCTCAGTATCCAGCAGATCTTGACCCAAGAGAAGGCTTTTTTATTTACAGAGCCACTCAGGTGAATAAATCAGCCTTGATGATGCTACATCCGGGTTATAATGAAATCAGTGACTCCCTCCATGCTTATGAGAAGTGGATACAGGCGAACTGTTAGGGAAACCTGGACCAATATCCCATTTAGGAGGAGAACAACACCAACAATCGTTTCAAGTTAGAAGAACTTTGATAGCGGCCTTAAAGCTAAAGTCTGTGATCAGGAGATTTAGCCTTTTCTTCGTGTAGCTTATGCGCACGCAACTATCCCTCCAACTATCGTAAATTGCTCGTACTCCCCTTAACTAAAATCGTCAAGAAAGTCGTCACACTCGCGAGACGCTATTCCATTGCTTTTGCTTACTGCAAAACTATAGCTCCAATAAACCCTGCAAGAATAACGGAACGTGTTTAAATGGATTTACTAAAAAGAAATATGTCTGTGAGTGTAAAAGTGGATATGCGGGTGACAACTGTGAGAAAGGTAAAAACTTGATTTTTGTCAACTGTTTGTCGCCAGACCAGTACAGATGAATAACTCATCAATTTTTTTCTTGTTTTAGAGGTGAATTTTCCTTTAATTTTATATATAAATATGTGCCAGTTCCATTCAATAATAATTTTGATTTATTTTCAGTCATCAATGACTGACGCTTTTCCATCAGATGGAATTGTTTTCATTTGGAATCATGGATGCGAGTTTCCTTTTTATTGTGATCAGACAAGCGATGGAGGTACTATAATTGTTATGTTCATCTGTTTTGACAATTACAATGAAAATCAACTCATTATCATGCCATGACAATATTCTCTTCTATTTTCTTTGGCGCTTTACACATAATAAAACAATGAGAGTGAATCAATTGAGCGGTTTTTTTTAGTCCTCTACGGAATTCATGATTCTACGGAATACATGATTTCGCATAGCTCTGCACTTACCAGAATGAGAGTTCGGAAAAATTCAGGCCATAAAAAAAANGCAGAGCCATTCTGTTCAACCCAGACACCAAAGACAAGTATTTACGTAATCACATGATCAAAACCGTGCCAACTGAGAGTAAAGAAAGCTGCGAGTTGTTTTGTTATATGGACCCTGACTGTGTGTCTTTCAACTACGGACCAACACTGAGTGATGAGAGTCCTTCATGTTTACTGAATAACAGCAAATATTTACTAGTAACCAGCGAGAATTTCATAACCAAAAATGGCTACAGCTACCGAGGAATTGAGGTAAGTCTTACAACCTTGAACATGATCAAATGTTTTGTAGTCCATTAAACCTCACGTAATATTAGTAATCAGTTGACCATAGATATAGGCAATAAAATAAGGAGAAGTAGCCACATTTAGGCGTGGTTGCTCTTTAAGTGAGACAATTTTATATTAACATTCGAGTAATAGTTCGGAGGAGAATGATTAAGTCTACAACAGACCTGAGTAAAAGCTGAAAGTTTCCAAAGAAACTGTGGTGCTGCGTCAGTGGGTGTAACAAGTTAATTTGGTTATATCAACTAAGTTGAAATTGTAAATTGGCCACTTTAACGAATAAAAAAGCTGACTTTTCGAGCGTTAGCCCTTCGTCAGAGCGAAAGACGAAGCTCTGACAAAGGGCTAACGCTCGAAACGTTAACATTTTTATTCGTTATGGTGGCCAATTTATAATTTCAACTTAGTTGATATAACCAAATTACCTACAACAGACCTGTTCACGGCGTGAGTTAATTGTTGGAGTTATGATGCAATCTACTAGAGGATTGATGCTTTCTTTTTGACCGAATCACGAGTGTATGATAATAATAAAAATATCATTAATAACATGAATAGTGCGAATTATAATCAGATTAATAACATTTATAATAACAATAATGTTAATAATATTCACATCAGTAATAATGATTATATTAAAGATGATAAAAGCTATGATGATGATGACAATATAATGGCCCATCGAGAACTACACGTGATCAAGTTGGAGAAAAAAGTAACAAAGCGAACAAACCAAACTTACTTCAGGTCTTTTTTTCTTTAAATCACAGAATCTTTGTGAAAGTGCCCCATGTCAAGGTAATTCAACTTGTCAAGCTGGGTTTACTTCAAAAGGATACCGTTGTGTCTGTCCACGAGGATTCAGGGGAGAGAGTTGTGAACAAGGTATTCAAGTATCGAAATATCAGTAACATCCATGCTTAATTAATTCTTGATTACCTTTTTTCTGCTGTTGGTAATACATTTACATCTCGACTGCCGCGAAAACCACTCTTTCAATCTCTGAGGTATAGAATGAGAATGCGTATCGACAGTATCCACGCATCCACATTCCTCATAAAAAATTGCCCCATAATTTACCGACTTTTACAGCAGGGAGAACTGTGATCAGGCCCAAACCCGTAAGGGACGAATCACGAGAGCCCCCGTGAGTTTGGACATGTGACTTAACTACCCCTCTCCATAACCGTTAAGTTATCGAAATATTATGGTTTTGTTTTCTTCGTAAGCATGTTCAATCTATAAAGTCGAAGATTCGTTTTGTAGTCAGCCAAGTTGGTCAAAAGAAGTGTAGCAAATACATGTTGAATTTAACAGGCTGTAGAACATTGCATTATTTGCAGGTATTCTTAAAAGCGTGTTATGTACTGGTTTTTTACTCATTCTGCCCCAGAACTGTTCTGAAGTCCCAAAGTTAACTGTAGTCTACAAAATTTCCAATCATGGACAAGATCCATTCCCGGTGTACTACAATCAGACAAGCGATGGAGCAGGTACATTAGACTGAATAAAGCTTATCAGTAGTTTCCAAATAAATTAGAATGCTCTCGGACTCAACTAAAATTCAAATTGTAAATGTCCTTGCCTGATCAATTTATCTATCGCTATCTTGACATCAGTGCAAGGATACGGGATCCTTCTAAATAGCTGATTCTGCTCATCTTTAACCAACAACCTGTTCTAAATGTACTCAAATCAGTTTCGACAAAATTTGGCGTAGGAGAGTGGGGAAAACGGTTCCAAAAGGCAGTTTATCGGAAAAGCGCTTTCCAGATCTTACACATAAAAAATGCAAGTATCATTAACCTGACAATCTTTTTTTCTAGGTTGGACGATGATATTAAAATACATTGGTGGACTTTCTTCTTCACCTACCGGTAAAGCCTTATGGAGGTCTTCCTATACATCATCAGATAATATTATCACTGCCTTAGATACCACTTCAACCTTCCAAGGTCATTACAAAAACGGCCTCGTTCAAAAGTTGGCAAACGCTTAATCCTCGAGAGGTTACTAGTCCATGAAATATTCATATCACAGAGGGTTAGGATGAATGTAACTTGTTTTTCAAAGTCATCATAAAAAGTTTAATGCATCCCCTTAGAATTCGCTCAGAAAAACATATCAGTTAAATGTTTAAGAAGCTAACAAATGTATTGGGCTGATATTGCAACCTCATGAAAAATTGCTATCAAAAATTCTATCGAGAAACACTCATGCAAATGGAATTTAGTGTAATTTAACTCAATTAAATGGATCAACTTATTTTAGAAATGAAACAAGAAAAAGTACTTTTTGCCTTTTTGCAGCAACGTTCTAATACTAAAGGATAATATAAACCAGACAATGTAGATCAGAGAGCAAAAAAGTTACTCTCTTTTGTTACCTTACTTCCCAGTCCTTCAGAGTATGTTGTCTTAGAAAAAAGTATTAAGGGAGTGCTCGTTTGGGGGAACGATTCTTAAACATGAAGTTACGAGTTTCCGTTGTCATGTGACGGTTACAAAGAATTGATTAACCGTTGGAATCCTTCAAAGTAAGTTTGCAAATAGACAATGAAATTTGATTATCAATTTCTCTACTTCTCCAATTGTGCGACTCTTTTGTTAATCCATTAAGTATGTAGATAAAAGATAATTTTCTTGCGATTATAGGTTCGTGTAGTGCTTTACACGAATGGAGCAGAAGTTATGTCTATGACGTTCAATGCCAGAGGGACGACCTGTGCGAACTGGTTTTCACAAAAAAATCTACTTCAATCACCATGGACCGATCTTAACAGCACGACAATTTTAAAACCCTTTCGCATCAGTGCAAAGGCCATCACGAGGCACGTAACTTGGACATTTCAGCTTTCTACGCAGGGTGTAAGAACGATGCTGGGTGGTTTATGATCGGTGGACCTGGCTGTACCTGGGGGAGATTTCGCCCTGTACCGGCAATTCTGTACAGCAAGAAAACTGACAGAATCAAATGGAATAATAACCTAGGTAAAAATTGCTTAAAGAAATCTTAGGATGCCTCGGTTATTGTTTTTTTTTTTGTCTGTTTGTTATCAATACAAAGAAATTACTAGCAATTTCCTAAACATGACTCCATCAACAAATGGTTTCCTTGTCATTCGTGCATTGTTTTGGTTAATTAAAACGGCATGGAATAACTGCTTTTTTTTCGTTTTAGTGAAATAATTGTTGAACTGATCCAG